CCCTAAAGAAAAAAACCCCAACCCTCTCGTGCAGACTGCCTTTCACCAAACATGGTTATTAAATAGTTTTATGAATATTTTCATTCTAACCCTTCTTTTCTGGACATCCCAGCTAAGTAGCTGCTGTCTGATGGCTGTTTTGCAGGTTGGCCTGGCCGTGGTGAATGGACAGCTGATGGCAGTGGGGGGCTTTGATGGCACAACGTACCTGAAGACCATTGAGGTGTTTGATCCAGACGCTAACACGTGGAGGTAACTTGAATTTGTGTGACAGTCAAACAGTGAAATCCATTGCAGAGAACTTGTGTGGGGTAGAACCATCACAACACTCCTGTTCTGGCTGCTTGCCTTGTAATTAAGAACTACATTTTGAAAAATATCCCATTATGCCCCTTCTGTTCATTTTGGGCTGAGTATCTCCTGCTTCCCAGTAAAACTGAGCTTGTCCTTAGCAGAAGGAACTCACAGCCACCGTGTAGAATTTGGCCTGTTCACTTCTTGCTTTCAAGCTGAGGCAGTAATTTCTGAGTCCTTTTGAAGGAGCTGAAACAATTCAAGCACATTATGTTATTCCTCTTTACATCAGCAAGATTCAGCCACTGGAAGGATCTCCAAGCTAAGATAAATAACCTGAAGTTGCTGATCAAAATATATGCTGAGCAGAAAAGAAAGAGGAAAAATAGCCTTTCTAGTCATAACTATACTTGAAAACAATTGTTGGTGTATTTATTCCCAAGTGTAATTAGTATAAAGTGTCAAGCACCTGTGGCTATTTTTGCTGTTGTGGTGATATGGCAAGGGTGGGGAATAAAAAGAAAGTAATGTCCTTATTCTTACTAGTGATAGTAGGAGTTTAATCTTTCACTGATAAGAATGGCTGTCATGAGCAGCAGTGGAGGAATTTCCCCTGGTTTGGTGAGCCACAGGACCTTTTGAACTGCTGAGGAAACCAGTTGAGAGAGAGATTCCTTAGTAGAATGGTTTCAGCTACTCCCCGGGACAGTCCAGAGTTAGGAGTTACTGTCTGGCAGGCATTCACACAGTTTGGGAGATTTTTCAAGGTATTATTAGCTTGTGGTTTTTTCCTCCACTGAACTCAACATGGGTGACCATCTTCTGTGGTCTTCCCTTTCCTTTGTATCTTGAAGATATTTTTTATTTGTGCAGCTTGACTGAGAAACTGTTCTGCTGCAATTTGGCTTTAACAAAGCTGTTTGGAGAACTTGCTTCTCCTGTTCCTGCCAGCAGACTCCAGTGGCACAGAGGGGAATATGCAGCTGCAATCTGTAGGGATCTGATATCCCTATGAAATGCAGACACCATTGCAGTCAGCAGATGGTGCTTGGGGTGTGTTATATCTTGGTTGGTTCAGCTGATTGCAGGGGTTTAGATGTACAAATTAAATTAGTTGAATTGTGAGGACTAAGTCTAGTCCTGTGTTACCCAAAACCTAGCTTAAGGTCAGCTTACAAAGTTCTTTTCTGTCTTGCACGTTGCCAGACAGGGAGCAGGAAGTATTTATTTGAGTTCCAGAAATTTGGTGTCAAATCAAGCAGCAGTTTCTGTTCTGAGAGAGAAAGACATGAGCAAATACAGCTGTTTACTTACGAAGTGCGTAAGATGGGTGCTCCACAACCTCTTCTTCGCTTTAATGATGGTAACACGAGCTGGTTCAGTGTTTGCCATGGCAGCTCCCAAGGGTTGGTGTCCCCATGGAGGAGGATGTGAGCCTGTGTGTGACCCTGGAATGTTGTCTCTGCAGGTTGTACGGTGGGATGAACTACCGGCGGCTGGGCGGAGGCGTGGGGGTTATCAAAATGACACACTGTGAATCTCATATATGGTAAGCTTCCAGAGGGAGGGAGTCCCCTGCCTTCTCATTCCTAGAAAAAACTGAAGAGACTTGTTGACACTGGACCTCTTTGCAGCTCTAGTATGCACGGTCTAGATCCAATGTAACTCTTTGTCGGTGAACTCTTTCTATGGAATTATAAAAATTGACTTCTGTGAGAGTGTGCCCCGCGGGAGACCACGCTGTCAGACTCCAGGGAACCACTGGACAAAAGTAGAAGTGTTGCTTATGTCCGTATTTTTTCTAAATAGTTCTACATTTTTTGAATAAACCAAACTGTAACAGTTATTGTAGCCTAAAGGATGCTGATGTAGAGCCTATACACTCCATACTGGGAGTCTGGCCAGGAGGGATTCCTGCTTTCCCTCCTGCTGTGGGAGCAGTGGATGTGGCAGCTGTTTGGTGGACGAAAGAGGAAAAAAAAAGTGACACAGAAAACATTGCTTTTGCCTTATTTACAGAGAGCTTCAAAAAAAAAAAGTACTTGACCTGCAAGGTGCCACCTTTGCACAGAAGCTTTTCTGTGCACAGAGTATATTTATTTTTTCATTTGATTTGTATCATGTATTTCCTTTGTATCGCTCACAGCGATGATTCCAGCTTTTTATATACATCTGTGTGTGCATATATATATGTATTTTATATATATATATGTGTGACTTGCATTTCGAGCTGGTGGTTTGGGCAGGGCTGTGTCCTGCCAGCTACTGTGGTTCCAACCCTTGTGGTATGATCTGGGGTCTCTTAGAGGACAGGAGAGCTGTGAGGATGGGTGCCCTCAGTACCTTTTCAGAACTGGAACTCTCATTGCTCGACTCAATCAGTGAAGTGCCCAAAAAGTGTGAGAGGAAAAGGATTTCAAGCAATGACTTTTTACTGTACGAAAATTCAGCTTTTCTCTCCTCTCCTCTCTCCTGTATGTGAACCTGTGCTGGTTTGAAGGTAAACCAGCAGGGGAGGAATGAACCCCACAGAAATACCTTGTGAGGGATTTCAAGTCGGAGTTACAGTTCAATAGAAAGATGACAGTAACTGCAATGAATACACAAAGACTGGCTTAAAACCAGTCCTGATTAAATGGTGGTTGCAGTCCTGTTAGAGTGATGGATGAGGTCTTGTCAAAAGTGCTGGTCCTGTGGAAAGGCCTGCTCCTTCTTTAGCTGTCCAGTGGTGGTGGTTGTGTCCAAGTCCCTAAACCCCCAGATCATGGACCCTCAAAGCCAGGCAGGAATGTTGAATCCCTACCCCAGAGCAAGAGATTTCCCAATGAAATGACAGAATCCTGAGTCATAGGATATTTTGGGGAGCCCTTGATGGCCCATTGGCAGAGCTGACCCCCACTTAGGCTGGGTGTAGTTGTCACTTTGTGAAGACAGCACACTGCACCCAGCTCACAGCTGTTACAAAGGACCCACCACTAACAGGAATAATGCAGGAATAATATCAGTTCATCAGAAATAATGTAGGTGGGTGTGGAATACAGTTTGGCTACACCCACACTGGTACTTTATCCTGCAACCACTGACAGAACCTAAATCCACCTAGTTCTAGCTCACTTCTAAAAGCCTTTTTCCTCCTATTGTCTGCTCAATATCAGTTCTTGTCTGAAGCAGGGTGCAGGTATCATCTGTTAATTCTGACACCCACTTCTTGTGTTGCTGGAAGGGCAGATCCACAGCCAGCTCCTTCCTGCTGGAAAACAAACCCTCAGACCAGCCTCACCTCGCCTGCCCTCTTACCTGTAGAATTCCTGACCATGATGGATGGTGCCCTCTCTTTGAGTGATTTTTGTGCACTTTGCCTGTGTCTGGTTAGAGCAGGGAAAGGTGTGAGGCTCATTTAAGAGTTTGGAGGGGAAGGGCTGTTTTCTGGCACTGTGAATAACTGTGGAGTCACCCAGGACTGGGGGGAGAGCAGAGAAGAACTCAAGACTTAACAGTTTTGTTTTTACTGTAATTTCTATTGTGTATGGAAGAATGACCTTTTGCACCTGATCTAACAGTGGACCTTACTAAAGAGGACTGTAAATTCTTGAGATGAAAAAGGCAGTGCTGACATCTTAAGTTCTTTAACTTCATAGTTTGATTCATGTAACCCAGACTTTAATGTGTTTGAATATAGTAAAAAAATACACTACAGTCATAAATGGGACATTAAACCTTTTTTTAAAAGGCCCTTTCTCCCTAAAGGTCCGTATTCTTGTGTTTACATATGAAGATCATTTGCACCTTTACAAGGAAAACAAGTATTCTGTAAACAAATGTTTACATGTATCATTTATGCTTTTTTCTAGCATGAGTAACTTGTATAAATAGTGCTATCTTAATAAATTTCTTCTACGCTGTTCTTGGTTTGTTCCTTGGGGTGAAAGCAGTGGGGGGTGTTTTTCTGTGGTTTATATGGAGAAAGATGATGGAGGTTTTTTTCCCCAGCTAAATCCCAGTAAAAGAGGCTTAAAACTGCTGGTTTTTGTTACCCTTCACATCCCTCAGAACCAGCTTTTTCTGAAAGGAACTATCTGTGTTATCTGGCTAAATCTTATCTCTGCTCACTTAACTGCATTTAACAATTAGGACAACACAAGGAGGAGATTAAAAGAGGCTATAAGAATTTAGGATTTTAGAGATTATTTATGCAAATTTGTTGGAAAGAGCTGAGCACTTAAAACTTAGCCCTGAGTGTAACAGTCCTATTTTCAAACCAAATACAGGTGCCAGTTATTTCCAGACCTTGTACTCCTTTGTCCAGTGCTCTTGTGACTCCAGATAGCAAACTTTGTCTGAGATATTTCAAATAAGGAAACTAAAGCACCAGAAGTGGTAGTTTAAGTAGCCTGCTGAGCTGCCAAGACCTTCAGAAGATCACTTAGCTCCCTTTACTAGAGTAAGAAAGAATTACTACAGACTTCAACCTCAACATGCAAAAACAATCCATCTTCAAGTAGTAATGAATGTGAAACCAAGTGCATGTTTGTTTAATTCTGGAAACAAGAAAACTGCCTAACACATGACATGCAGTTATGTCATGTGTTAGGCAGTTTTACACTGGGAAAAGAAAGGAAATTTGCACCCTATTTCGGAGAAGGTCATAGCACAAATCAGCTCCCAGAGGTGCTGCACAAGTGTGAAGCAAGAAACTAGACTTGGAATTTTGCTGCTCACAGATGCATTTAATAAGTAACAAGTGGTGGTTTGGTCTGGTAAGCTGTAGTTAGAAAGAAGCTCCATGCAAGGATATATTTAATTAGGCAGTGGTGGTCTTTCCGTAAGACAAAAGATGGAAAATATTTTCTTTATTTAGTACTGTATTACAAAAACATCTTAGCAGGTGTTACCTTCTGCTCCTTAAATGTCCCTCTGAACTCTGACCTGCTCCAGAAGGGAGGGATCCAACATCAAACTCTAGCACACAGCTCCAGCCCTGAGAGCTCTCTGGCCTAGAGGGTTACATCCAAGATTACAAACATAAGGACAAAACCTAGTAACTATCAAGCTTATCCACACCTCACTTTCCTATTATCAATTTGCCTGGGAGGACCAACAGGCTGACAAGTGCCTCGTGTCCAATCTCACGGCCAACTGGGACATAAATGGACAATACCCCATTACCAAGTACCCTTAACAAGCTAAAAAGGGAGTTAGAAACCTGGATTTTTCTGCCCTGGATTGTAGAGCATGCACTCTTTCTCAGGTGTGCTGAACTTTGCATTTAGGCTAGCCCAAGAGTAGTCACAGTTTAGCCAAGGTCTGCGTTAGCTTAAGCTGTCCAGTGAAAACCAGCTTTGAAACAACAGAAATACCTGCCAGTATGTTGCATCAAGAACTTGCACTGTTTGTCTCCGAGCTGATACCTGCACATTAATGAAATGAGTAACTATGAGAAAACAAAGCTGCTCAGGAAGCTGTCACAAGTTTGCATTGCAGCCCTTCTTCAGGGCTTGCAAATGTCTGCTTGACTTTGCTGTGCAGGGAATTACACAGCCAAGTGCAGTCTGACTTTGGACAGCCAGAATGAGAGGAAAGAAGATGCTGCAGGAGTGAGATTCCTGGTGGTTTCTCAGCGCAGACTGTCCAAACAGAAAGCCTTTCTAGTGTGAAGTGCTACTGAAATGGCTCTCACTGTATCTGAGAGATTGCAAGTTCAGTCAGTAGCATCAGCACTCCAGGCAGGTATTGGCTGTGTAGAATCTGCAAGAAAGAGAAAAAAGCCTGTCAAAGCAACAATTGCAGTTGCCAGATTTCCACCCCCTGAAGCCCTGGTTGGAAGGAAACTACCAAGTGTTCTGTGTGTTTATTCAGCTGCTCTATTGTTGCTTTACTTTTCCCATACTGCATATGACTTGAATTATACCCCATTATGAAAAGCCAGAACTGAATTTACACAACACATTCCGCAAGAGCACCCTTCAGAAAGCCTGAGATATCTTTGTGTACTTACCTGCAACAGAAAAACTTGTTTCAGACAGTTTTAAGCTATTACAGATAAAAACAAGCAATGTGTTCGTGATCATAGGGTAAATTTGAACAACTGCATTTACACAAACTGTTCTTTAACTAATAAGAAAATATTATATTGCTTGAAGGATTAATATTGTGTGGTTTGAAGGCTATTAGAGGTACCTCTGTAGAAAGATCAGCACCTTTATGAAAAGGGTTACACGTGAAGGAGTCTTCTGCCTGTGTCTTAGTAACTGCAATACTAGAAAGCTAGGAACTTTCTTTAAAGTTTGGGATCTTTTTAAGTACAAAATTAGTTTTTTTATGGCCTAAGAAACTTTCTTGTTCATATCACAGCTAATACACCTATTTCTGGTCCCAGGCAAGTAGCTTCTGCTGCAACACAGTAATAAAATAGTGTACTGGCAGCTGCCCCACCTCTAAAGCCAAGTATGACTAGTAAAAGCTGAGGGTTTAACAATTCCTCGTAGGAAATCATGCAAAAGAAACACGAGACCTTCAGGTACAGCTGTTTTATTTGGCCAGCATTAGGACAAACTGCTAAGGGCCTCACCTTCACAATCCCATCACACTGTGCCGAGGCAATCCCTGTGGAAACCTTCACCAGCTTTGCAGCTGACAAGTGGATCTTGAAGTGCCTGTGGAAGTGGGCATAAAGGCAGTCCATGAAGACATCCACCTCCTCTTGGGTGATCTCTCCTGGCGTTTTTTGCACCGTGTCCCACAGAGCTTTGGCATCCTCTGGGTGGATGGCGTAGGAAATATCCAGGGGCTGCGCCAGGCGGGGCACGGAGAAGACGAGTTCCACGGCAGAGGCAGCTCTGTCCAGCTTGCAGCCAGCCCACATGGCCACCATCCAGCTGAGGTTCAGGGGGCTGATAGCCAGGCGGCGGAAGCAGCAGTCGAAAGTCTTCTGGAACCAGCTGCCAACCAGGGACGTGTAGCTCTCGGCCCCGTGGGTCAGGAACAGGGGCAGGCAGGTGAAGTGCTCCGGCACGTTCTCGGAAAGGTCATCTCCAAACACGGAGCAGAACCAGCCTGACCACACCACTTTGTCTTCAGAGTTCTTGGAGGAGGCTTGTGACCTCGAAGAGAGCTGGGATGGGGAGAAGAAGCATTGCAATGCTGCAAAGCAAGTACGGCTTTTTTTCCCATTATATCCCTAAAAGTTGAGTGCAATTCTGTTGAAAACAACAGAAAAAGCACTTTTAAATTCTTTAGGAACAGTCCTGAGTTTATGCTGCTTAACTCCCATGGTACATCCTACAACCATTGACACAATGAACCTGACATTTAAGTAGCACATTTCACTTGAGGCAAAGCATTTCAGAAATATTAATTAAGCTCTGGCCGGGAAGCGGGATTATGCTTTATCCAGGAAGAAAAATAACCCATCCAAGTCCTGGCAGTAAATTGACTGCTGAACTAAAACATCAGACAGAGATTGCTCTGTATAGTTGTGTTTATAACAGAGTATAGTTGTACTCTGGTGCTGTTAAAAAGTTGAACTCAAACTTGCTATTTTCTGTATGCATTGCTTAGGGGGGATCACAGAATCAATCAATCAAACACCCCGGAGGAGTCTGTGGTGAGAGTCACTGGGACAGTGTCCCCTCGGCCCCTGGGGCAGGAGAACCTGGTGAGGATGGGGTCAGGGGGGCTCTTGGGGCTTTTATTCCCTGAAGGAAACAACCCTGGGTGGTGGGATTATGGTGGGCTTTGTGTCAGAGCATTGCCACGGCTTCTGCCTGTGTGACAGCCCATCCTCAGATAGTGTGAGGTGAAATAAGTGCTATGCCAGATAACAGAATCAATCAGGCTGAAAAAGACCTCTGAGGTCATCAAGCCCAGCCTGTGACCAAACACAACCTTGTCATTAGACCAAGGTTTTAACTGTGCCACATCCAGTCTTAACTTAAACACCTCCAGGGACGGTGACTCCACCATCTCCCACGGCAGCCAATTCAAATGTCTAATTCTTCCTAATTTCCAACCTATTCCTCCCCTGGCACAGCCTAAGACTATAAACGTTCATTTCCAGTTAAAAACAGACAGGATTCCGTTTCATTAAATCACAATGGATGCCCCAGTAGCCATTCCACACATCTAGGGCTTAACTTTGGGGTTTTCCTTCAAGACAGAGCGTTTCATCACAGCAAAAACAGCCGGTCTCACCTGCACCAGGAGGGCATCCTGGTCCAGCTCGCTGCCCCTGAGGTCGGCAAGGCTGGACAGGGCCACCTTGATGTCCAGCTCGACGCCCACCTCCACGGCCAGCCCCTTCTGCTTCTCGGCGGCGATGAAGGCGCCCAGCAGCCGCGCGTAGTCCCGGAGGCGGCCGCGGCGGAAGCGGTACAGGGGGGTCACGCTGTACAGCGTCCAGGCTTTGCGCAGCAGGAACGCCGTTTTCTGCGGGTCCGCCTTCTCCTAGGGGGAAACAAAAATAAAGGAACGAGGTTAAGGTTTGCTTTTCCCGCGCGGCCCAGCGCGGCGCGCCTGAGGGGACGCGGAAGAGGCAGGGAGGCTCCGCCACCCGCGCCTCGCCGTACCTGAGAGGACGGCGCTGGCACGATGAGGCGGCCGCTGGAGCTGACGCCGAGGCGGCCGTGGCTCCGTCCGAAGGGCAGAGCCCGGGAGAGGCGCCTGAGGCTGGGCAGGGTCCGCACCGCGCCGTCCTCCGGCGCCTCCTCCGCCATGGCGGCCGCGGCCCGCCGGAGCCGTTCGAACTTCTTCCCGTCGGCCCCCGCGCGGGGCGCGCCCCCTCCGCCATCTTTGAGGCGGGCAGCAGTGACGGCCTTTCCCCCCCTTTTTCTTTTGTCCCTTTTTCCTTTTCCCCTCCGGAACTCTCGGTTTTCACCCCGCGCAGGTCCCCGGCGCTCCTCCCCGTGTTTTGGGCTGAGGGGATGGCGCTGCCCCGGCTGCTGGTGCGAGCGCTGCACCGGGCGGCCGCTGCCGCCGCGGCTCCAGGTGAGGAGCCGCGCTGGTCCCATCCCCTCGAGGTTTGGGTTCTCCCGGGGTACAGGTCAGGGTAGTCCACACAGTCGATTAATATCACGCTTTCTGCAAGTTATTTTCCCTGTATCGCTTTATTAAGTGTCTTGTCTAAATCTCTTTTAATTCTAAAGGCTGTCATGAAGGTAGTGAGATTGGCTCTTGAAGTTATTTATATATGTCCAGATCACGGCATCCTTCAGGCTTCTTCTTGCGACTGAGCCTCTTGCACGTTCTGTAAATGGTGTGCTTGGTTTGTGACTTGGGCCATGACTGCAGGCACACAGGGGTCTGTGCAAACCTTTCTGTAACCGTGGCTCAGGCCTTCTTCCAGTTGTTTCAGGCAGGAACTCTTCAATTTACACCTGCATGGTGTAAATGTAGCTAGTTGTCATATGCTTTAAAAAGTAGAAACTACTAAATTTGTGAAAAAAATGTTCTTCCTATTTTGCTTTTCATGGCTCAGACAAGGCCTGTTTCTGGTTTTGAGGGATTTACACCTGCATGGTGTAAATTGAACACTCCTCCCTGTGTGTTGAATTCTTGGTTTGTTAAGCCCTGTTCTACTGTGTCACCAGCAGGAATTGCGGTGGCAGGACAAGGGGGAATGGCTGTGAACTGAAGGAGGGCAGGTTTGGGTTGGATATTAGAAGAAATTCTTCCCTGTGAGGGTGGTGAGGTTCTGGCACAGTTGCTTAGAGGAGCTGTGGCTGCCACATCTCTGGAAGTGTCCAAGGCTAGGCTGGATGGGGCTCTGAATAACCTGGGACAGTGGAAAGTGTCCCTGCCCATGGCAGTGGGGTGGAATGAGATGACCTTTAAGGTCCTTGAAACCCAGACTATTCTGTGATTCTAGATTTAAATGTGGGTTTGTCAGCGTCCCTCAGGATTGATCTATGACTTTTGCTTCTCTTGCTCCTGAAATTTGCAGGGCAACAGTTTGCAGCAAGGCTATATTGAAGTATCTTTGTGAAAGCTTAACTGAAAAACATAAATAATCCCTGTTTAACATACATTTAGACTAGCTTAATTTCATGTTTATGCCATAGTATCTTACTGCAGATTTATATAGGAAGTAACTTCTCCATATATATAAATTTTATTGGGAGGGAAAGCTATTATTTATTCTCTCTCATCTGCAAAAGCCATGAGAGATTGCAGTTATTTATTTATTTATTTATTTATTTATTTCTATTTAAGATTTCAACAGTTTTGTTACTCGGACCAACACGTGTGGAGAGCTGCGTGCTGCTCACGTGGGACAGAAAGTGACCCTGTATGGATGGGTTCAATATCAAAGGTAAGTGCAAACCATGGTGAAAATGGAGATGATTATTTGCCAGAACCAGTCTAAGCTGTGTTTCATCCAGCATTGCTCTCCAGTGATGGTCTGCATGGGTTTTTTTATTTTAGGAGGTCCTGAGTGTCTCATCTATGAGCAGTTGTAGATGGGGACTCAGGAAAAGGAGTTAGGATTATTGCAAATTGGCTGTGGTGATCTTGTTTTTAAAGACACCAGAGCATGTCCCATTGGGCAGTTTTTTTTGATGGATAAAGCACAGTGGCAGCTGTCCCTGCTGCAGTTTGAAGAAATCAAGATTTGTGGTTCTGAGTCTGGCAGTGTGGGTTGTTAATGTGGAACTTTTTATGGGATGAGTGTTCCCCTTCTTGACTTATGTTGGATTTTGTTGTTCTTGTTTTTATTGCACATGAACTTTAGTTTTATTGCTCATTTAATTGTTTTTAGCTGAGTGATGTTTCCCAGCAGGAGAATTCACGTATCCAGAATCCCAACTCTCCGTGCATGAAAGCTCAAGTTAAAATCCTGCCTCTCCTGCCTATTTGTGTGTTGTCTGAGGCTGATCACAATATGAAAGAAATTGTTCAGGTGAAGTTCAGGTGTGGGAAAAGTGTCTATAATTCAGTACTTGGAAGTGCTTTGGGATGAATTGCAGGGTACTGAAAGTGTAGCTAGTTGCCATATGCTTTAAAAAGTAGAAACGACTAAATTTGTGAAAAAAATGTTCTTCCTTTTTTGCTTTTCATGGATCAGACAAGGCCTGTTTCTGGTTTTGAGGGATTTCCAGGGACTGACCCAAGTTGTTATTCCTCAGGATGAGGTAAGTGCTACCAAAACACGTGTCTGTGTTTTTATTTTTCCTTTGGTAGCTTGGCTTCAGCAGCCACTCTGTCAAACTGGGTGCTCTGACTCACAAATAGATTGAAGTGTCATGAGAGCCGTGACCTGATGCTACAACAGAAGCATCAGTGCTGTTTCCCCTGCCTTAAGAGTGATTTTGGATTGAGGTGCTTGGCCACAATGCCTTTGTCCTGTTCTTTGAATTCCTGCGAGGCTCTGTCCTCTCCCTGCAGGCACATTCCCACGTGAAGGAGCTGCTGTCCAACGCCCCGGTGGAGTCTGTGGTGAGAGTCACTGGGACAGTGTCCCCTCGGCCCCTGGGGCAGGAGAACCCGGTGAGGATGGGGTCAGGGGGGGCTCTTGGGGCTTTTATTCCCTGAAGGAAACAACCCTGGGTGGTGGGATTATGGTGGGCTTTGTGTCAGAGCATTGCCACGGCTTCTGCCTGTGTGACAGCCCATCCTCAGATAGTGTGAGGTGAAATAAGTGCTATGGCAGATAACAGAGAATCTCAGAGCACATTACAGACACCCACAAATTAAACTGGATCCCAGCCCTTTGCAAGGATAATGCTGGCTTTTCCAGGCTTTCAGAGTGTGGTGGGAATTTATTTTGCTTGAAAATAAATATTGTCATGTCGAGTTCCACCTATTTATTGACTTTGCTGGTCTCCTTGTATAGGAAACAGAGGTTGAATAATTTTTTAATGTTCTGCATTCCTCAGCTGTCATTGTAATCAGCTATAGACTGAACTGTCAGGATTGTACATATAACTGGCAGGTCTAAAAAGAGGACTGTATTTATGATCATAACTTCTTTTTGCTCCATCTCGTAGATGTCCACTTAAAATCCAGGCTTCAAACAATGCTTTTATTTCTTCTATTAATTTCTTCTTTTGTGGGAAGGTTGTGCGTCCTTTCCCCTGGTAAATAGAGAGAGTTCTGCAGGATAAGTGAACTTTACTGTGCCTCAGTGCTACGAGAGGGGAGCTGCCTGCCCTCCCTTGGCATAGAGTCAAAAGAAGACCAGTTCTGAGAACTGGTGTTTAGAACTGGAAGTTCTGAGAAGTTCCTCATCATTTGCCTTTTTTGACTCATGTTAAGGGCTGCTGCTGCTCATGCTCACTGAAACCTGTAGTGTGGTTTTGCTGGGGCTAGTGTGTTTATTGACCAGTATGCTGCTGGGAAAGAACCTGCCATCTTTGGGGAGGTGACTTGTGTTTCTCTGAACAGAAGGGAAACCTGGAAGAAATCTGTCCTTAGGAGAAGCTCTCTGATTTATACACTGTTAGAAGGCAGGGAGGGTAATCACATTGCTTCCTTTTTTCTCTTTGAGCATTTGTGAAATACCTTAGTCCAACTGTTATAACTTTTTTTGCCTTTTTGTTCTAGAAAATGCCAACAGGGGATATTGAAGTGAAGGCAGAGAGTGCAGAGATCCTAAACTCCTGCAAGAAGCTGCCTTTTGAAATCAAGGATTTTATCAAGGTGATTGTGTTTTTCTTTCCTTTTTCTTACCAAAGTGGTGACTTTTCACTAAATTGGGAATTTGCCCAGGATGATGGCAAAACATCTCAGAGCCAAGTCTGGTTCTCCCCATTTCACTTTGGAGGAATGGTGGTGTTTAAAACAGACATGCTGTTTATTTGCTGGGAGGATTTATTTCCAATTACAGCTAAGCAGAAAACAGGGCTTGAATGGTTCCTGATTTCTGGAAGCACCGATGGCAAAGGAAAGAGTGAAAGAAATGGTGCTGTGCTGGGTTTCTTGAGTGTGAAATGAGGCTATTTCATTTGACTCCTGGAATCACAGAATGGTTTGGGTTGGAAGGAGCCTTAAAGATCGTCTTGTTCCAAATCCCCGGCCATGGGTAGGGATGCCACCAGGTTGCTCAGAGTTTCATGCAACCTGGCCTTGAACACTTCCAGGGATGGGGCAGCCACAACTTTTGTAGGCAGTTTGGTTTTTTGTTTCAAGCAATTGCCGTGTTTGTGTACGTTGTGCGTAACGGGCACATTGCAGCAGCCATCCCCTTATTCAACTTCTCCCTTTTTCTCTGTGGCTTTAGGAGCACCTTCAGTGGACGTGCAATTGAATTTTGTCTCTTAACCCTCTCTCCTCCCCAGAAGTCAGAGGCCCTGCGGATGCAGTATCGGTACCTGGACCTGCGCAGCTCCCGGCTGCAGAACGCGCTGCGGCTGCGCTCTCGCGTGGTGATGAGGATGCGCGAGTACCTCTGCAACCTCCACGGTGAGGGAGCTGCTTGGAGCAGCAAACATTCCTGCTCTCCCTGCTGCCTCTTCCTTGTGCTGGCAGAGATTCCTAACCAAGTTGTTACCCCAGACTGGTCCCACTTAATAAGGACATGTCTGCTTGTGGTGAGGTCTTCAGTGGCATGTTGTCAGGCCTGAGGAAGATGCCCACAAAAATTGTGGCTGCTCCATCCCTGGAAGTGTTCAAGGCCAGATTGGATGAAGCTCTGAGCAGCCTGTTTCAAATTAGCAGCTTCCAATGAGAAAAGACTCTTTGCAGGTAGTTGCCCTCTTTTGGTCACCCAGTTGAGGCATGTCAGATGGATGGATTTTGTTTAGGGCTTTTGCTTCTCTTAAAATCAGGAAGTGCTTTTTGGAAAATCAGTGCCTGGTTCAGAATAGATAGAGAATTGACACATTTTCAGCTTGTTTGGAGCCCTCTGTCATCAACAGTTCTGGCAGGACATCAGAGTAGCTCAGAGTCTTTAGATCTGTCATTACAGGAATAATTATTAGAAGTTGTAAAGTGTGTTGGTTTTGGAGAGGCTCCATGGTGTGTTAGATGACCTATTTTGCTGACTAACCCTACTCTAGCCTACTCTGTCACGTTAGTTCTCCCTCCTCTCAGCATATTCTGTGTTTGTTCCCCAGGGTTCGTGGATGTAGAAACTCCAACTCTGTTTAAAAGAACCCCAGGGGTATGTATGTGATGCTTTTTGGCCTCCTACAGCTGCACAGTCAGGGCTGAATCATTTCCAGCTGCTATTCAGCCTTCATTGCTTTTCCCTTGCCAAATGACAGCTTGTGGATCTTCTGATATCATCCACAGATCCTATGAAAAGTAGAGGGAGAGAAAGGGGAGAGGTGATAACTCATGTCTTAATTTTGACCCTCCAAACCAGATAAGCTTCTGCCTTGTAAAGCACACGTTGAATCCAAGTCTACCCTGGGATTATAAACCCAAAAACCTTTCAAGCACCGTCTTTTCAGCATTTATCTCTTAACCAGTAGGTTATTGTAGAGGTCATACTCAAGTAAATTTAATTTCTGATCTTAGATTCTTTTCTTTCATTTCAAAAATAGCCAGAGAGAAGAGAGCTGTAGCTGAGGAATTGTTGATGCAGCTACTCTGGAGTTCTTGCATTTAAACCCCAGTCTTGGATGGTCTATTATGCATTAGTCTCTCAGAGAAGAAGGTGCAGATATTCTCCTTTCAGATATTTTGGACCAAGTTGGTTAACAAATGTGAAGTGTAATGTACAAACAGCCATTTCCTCACATGTGGGATTTTATAATGTGAAAAATAGGTCCTTTCCTCTTGCACTTCTAGTGTTTGCTCTGTCAGGAATTGGGGCCACTTACTTGTTGAGCTCTGTAAATTTCTTTCTGATGCCAGGGAGCCAAAGAATTCCTTGTGCCCTCGAGGGAAGCGGGCAAGTTCTACTCTCTGCCACAGAGTCCTCAGCAGTTCAAGCAGCTCCTCATGGTTGGAGGCCTGGACAGGTAAGAGTTTCTTGGCCTCCTGATTTCTGCATGTCCTGTCTAGGGTTTGACTGCTTTATCTGTGAAGTTTAGAAACTTCCCTAAAAAAAAAATACTGCCAAGGATTTGTGTCTTGAAGAGGGATCCTGAAATACTTAGGGCTTTACAGTCAGATGAAATGTATCCTTCTGGAAAGCTGAAATCTTTGCTGCTGTGTTAAATGCAAACCTGATCTGAAGCAGAGCCTTCCTGGAGGGCAGAAAATCTAATGTGTGATGAAAGCTGCTCCAGGAGTGACCTGCAGAACTAATTGAGGTGAGGCTGGGCAGCTGAGCATGACTGAGACAAGGAAAAGCATGTCAGGGTGCCCAAGTGCAAAGCTTTTAATTGGGCTTACTTCTCCAAATCAGATGGATGGACAGGGAGACAGACAATTGTTCACACGGTGAACTGCAGGCCTGGTCTTATCTGAGAGTTTTGCAGGGCTCTTAGGAGAGTCCTGGAGTGGAGTGGAAGGTGGAATAAAGAGTTGAGTGTGCTGCCCTTGGGGGACAGCTCACCTGGCAGTCTCCATGTGCCTCTGGAAGATATGGCTGGAGATGGATGCAGCTGCTGATAGAGTTCCTTCCACTCAAACTTCCATTGTTTTGAAGGGATGGGAACAAGGATCATCTCCTGTGGGAACAGAGCATTCTCTCTCTGATTTACTTCTTTTTTCCTTCTCGTTTGTATCATCAATTCTATAGCCACAGTTGAGTTCAGGATACTTTAAATCATTATCTAAGTCAAAGTGTCACTGCAGGTACTTCCAGGTCGCTCGCTGCTACAGGGATGAGGGTTCACGGCCTGACAGGCAGCCAGAATTCACCCAGGTAACCAGCCTCTGCTGCCTTGCTCCCTGCTCCTCAGCCCAAGTGGCTCAGAGCTCTTTTCCCTTCCTGAGGCTTAGTCTGTGCTAGTCTGGTGCTGCCTGGGGGGATACAGAGTTGTTTGGTTTGTGTTTCACACACACAGCCCTTGGAAATTGCTGTGGGATGAGTGTGGGGTTCCTGTCCTTGGCTGGCTGCAGTGCCCCAAGTGCAGATGTGGGAATTGCATTGCAGCAGTGATTTTAATTTGATGCTACAATCTCCTCCTGTCCTACTAAGTCAGACATCCCATTCCTCAGCCTTGAAATCCCAGGCTGAGTTAGCCTGGTTCACTCAAGGCTGTTTCTGTGTCCTTGTCATCCTTACCTCATTCACTCTCTGAGGAGGTTGTTGCCTGAGTCATCAGCCTGGAGGGTGATCCTAAGCACATTCCTGGTCTAATGCAGTCATGCTGTGATGTCATTTTGTGTATTGTTTCTTGTTTTGCTGTGTACTCACAAGTAGCACTGTGAAAGCACAACCTTTAGCTAATGTGGAATTCCCCTCCTCTTCTCTGTTTTAAGATAGATATAGAGATGTCGTTTGTAGATCAAGCTGGGATCCAGAGGCTCATAGAAGGCCTCCTGCAACATTCCTGGCCTGAGGAGAGAGGCTCCATTATGACTCCTTTCCCTTCCATGACATATGAGGAGGCACTGGCTGGGTATGGGACTGATAAACCAGACACTCGCTTTGGGATGAAGGTGAGGGTTTGTCCATTAGAAATTTGCAGCATTTCCTTTCAGTCAGTGTTTTAATAACATTTGGATCGTGGATGCATGGTTGGCTGGAGTTTTGAGTGCTGTAATTTACCCAAGGTGCCTGTCCCATTGTTGCTGCTTTGTGCAGTCTGCTGAAGAAGAGAGGATTTAATCAGTTGACTGTGAAAAATGTATGTTGTAATAAAACTTTAAAATAAAGGTGATGTAGTGCTCGGGAGCAATGCATCTTGACTGTTTTAGGAGCAAAAGCTTCTAAAAGGAAATAGTGTGGAAGGTGCAGGAGTTTTTGCTTTGTATTCCTACCAGCAGTGATTTTTCCTGTGCTCTCTCCCTTGTCAGATCATGGATATCAGTGATGTTTTACGAGGATCAAACATTCAGTTTTTGCAGAATGCCCTCAGCTACCCACATGGTTCCATCAGAGCCATTTGTATTCCTCAGGGAGTGGTAAGTGAAGCTCTTACATCTTGTTTATGGTTTATGTGGAATAAATAAACTGCCAGTTTGAATTCCTTTGTTCCTTGCTATTACTGGTATTCTTAAGGGAGTTTGGGATTGGTTGTAATCCATGTCAGGTTGGGCTGAGTGGCGTTAGAATGATAAGGAAGAGTATTTTAGCCGTAGGAAGAGGAGGAAAACAATAGAGCTGCAAGATCCCATGAGGATAGGGAACCCTCTTGGGGTTCCACCTTGCTTTCTATCACCTTTTTGATGTGCATCTCAATAATAAATTGTGCCTTGTGACAGGAGATTGAAACAGGGCTGGGCATGGCACAGCTCTGGGCTAGGCAGAGAAGGGTCAGGTGGTTCCATGTCCTCCTCCTGTTTGCTTTAGCTGCATTTTTGGGTACAATTTGTGTGTTGTAATGAGAATGTCATGGACCAAATCCAAGGCTGACAATAGATGTGGAAGACCTTTGACACAGCCCTGCATTTTGGCAAGGAAATAGATTTAATTCTGGCTATAGGTATCTTTGTAGCTTGGACGGTATGGAAAAAACAAGTCCTCTAAATACTGAGTTTTGTCTGGGGAGCAAGGCTCTGTGGCCATGATTTCCCTTAGGATTCCTTTCATTTTGGCACAAAGTGCAAGTTAGTGGCTTCCCACGAGAGGGCACAGATGTGTTTGTTTGAGCAACACAAAAGTGGCATCTAGACCCACCCTAAACACTGGAGTAGCTGGAAAAAAAACAAGATCTTGATGCAGGTCCTCATTTAATTCATGGCTTTGCATGCAAGAATCAGCCCAGTTGTTTTTTCTCTGTTCTTCCTTCAGTTTCAGCTCTGCATTCCCCATCCACAGTGTGGTGGTGTAACCTTGTTTCTGCAGGCTGGAGGCAGAGTGAGCTGATCCTGCTGACCAGATATATTTATTTGTGTGTGTGTGTGTGTGGGAAATATAGATCTGGAGGGGTCTCTTCCTAAAAGGAGCCCACAGATCAAACACCCAGCCCAGTGCTAATGACCCCATCCTCTTCCACAGCCTTTATAAGAACTTGAACTAGAAACAAAAGAATTGGGAAGTTTGGAACCAGCTTAAGTCAGTAGGTTTGATACCTAGTCAAGTTATCCAAGCTGATCTTTGCTGTGTCTTCTCTTGCTGTTTCCCCAGAGATATCTTACAAATAAAGACTTGGAGTCATTGAAGGAGTCTGCAAAATCCCAGTTTAACCAGGTGAGAGAGAAACTTCTGAGGCTTTGGGAAGGGTGAGTGATAAAGACAGAGGGAGGTAGGAGAGCAGTGTTTATAGCTGAGAGTCACAGCCTGAGCATGTGATGCTTCAAGGCAAGAGAGGGCAGCACTGCACTGAACACAGCCTTACCTTTCTCCAGGAAATCATGGAAATTATCCGCAGACCTGATGGAAGCTTGAAATCTCTGCTTACCAAGTTCCTTGGTGAGAAGGAGCAGTCAGAGCTCATCCAAGCACTGAACATGCAGGAGGGTGATGTGGTGCTGCTGGCAGCTGGAGAACACAAGCAAGTGGTAGGAGGCATTTCTTGGGTGGCTCTCTGAATTGAATGTTGCTGATGGTGGTTTTGATGTTATCTGACCTTAGTCTGATTCTTATTATTAAAATAGGTCATCATCTAATTTTCTGTTTCTCTGGAACGGCAGCTATAGCAACAGCAGATAAAGCATGAAATGTGTCTATTACTTTATGGCCCCCAGTCAAATTCTGGGCAGGATTTGTAACTGAAATGAAGGCTGAAATATAAAAAACCCTGCAACAAATCAGTGCCTTCTTTTCTTTTAACTTCATTTTTAAAGCATCATACAGATTGGAAAATGAGGTCAACTAGGTAATTGTGTCTCCCATAAGTGCATGACTTATTAGCAGCAATGGTGGGAGATTCTATTCCTACCCTTCTCTGTATTCTTGCCAGCAGATGTTGCTGGCAAGAATAAAGAGAAATAAAACAAAGCATTGTTTTATTATAAGGTGTCATGCTTTGCTCAATAGCCAACATTTTGTTGGATTCTCTTCTGCGCCTTCATTTTTCTGCAAAGTGTGGATCTTACATGTGATCCCCCAGTTAATCCACATACGTGGAGCTGGAGATTAGTCTAAGAAAGTTCTGAGGATGAAATAGCTGGAAAAACATGGACTTCCAAGCTCCTTCCTTGGTCTCTGTCAAACCTGGTGCTGCTGCTGCCTCAGCAGGAAGATTATATATTTCAGGATAGGAGGCTAAAATGTTCAAGGCAACAATGCATTGCAGTTGATGCTGTCTGTGGTACTTCCTTTATGAAACACACTTTGCCTGGTGGGTGCTTGAGTTTCCTGATGGTGAAATCACCCTGTCTCATCTCTCCCTTCTCTGTTGCAGTGCTCTGCGTTAGGAGCCTTGCGGTTGTTGAGTGCCAACCTCCTGGAGGCAGCTGGGCTGGCACTCCGTGATCCCACAGCCTTTCACTTCCTCTGGGTGGTGGATTTCCCCCTTTTCCTTCCCAAAGCTGAGAATCCCACTGAACTGGAATCTGCTCATCACCCCTTCACTGCCCCTCATCCTTCAGATGTCAGCCTCTTGTATTCTGATCCCACAAAGGTAACCAACTTCCTGCCTGCCATGCTGGCTCTTTTACAGCTGCTCCCCTGGAAAACCAGGCAAGCAGCAGCTGGGTTTAGTGTAAAAAGAGATTCATGGGACTGACTGCACAGGGAAGATGTAGATATGTCGGAATGAGTCCAGAGGAGGCTGCTGAGACCATCAAAGGGCTGGAGCACTTCTGCTGTGAGAAAGGCTGGAGAAGCTGAGGTTCATCCTGGAGAAGAGAAGGCTCAGGAGCAACATTAGAGTCCTTTCCAGTGCCCAAAGAGGCTACAAGAGAGCTGAGAGGGATATTTTGCAGGAGCAAGTAGTGATAGGACAAGGGGAAATGGTTTTAAACTGAAAGAGGGTAGACTTAGATTGGTATTGGGATAAAAATCTTCCCTGCAAGGAGGTACTGGCACAGATTGCCAAGAGCAGCTGTGGCTGACCCAACCCTGGCAGTGTTGAAAGCCAGGCTGGACAGGGCTTGGGGCAACCTGGGATAGTGGAAGGTGTCCCTGCCCATGGCAGAGGGTTGGAGCTAGAGGATCTTTAAGGTTCCTCCCAACCCAAACCATTGTGTGATTCTATGATCTTGTATGTGTCTAGAAGATATGGTTTCCTGAGTACTGCAAATAGCAAGTATTCATATGTGCCCCAGCAAAAGGAGCTGACAGGAAACAGAAATCTTATATTTTGACCCTTCTCATGTGCTTCAGGTTTGATGAATCTTTCAAAAGGATTTGTTCTCCTCCCACATCAGTCAGGGGCACCCCATGCCTCCAGCAGGACTGCTACCTGAATTGCAATGTACCCCTGAGAGAGCAGTTTTACAGAGTTCTGTGGCTTCATTCCCAGTGTCTGCAACATTTGCCATCTCTGTGCAGGTTGTTTTTAGGTGCAGCTGTGGCCCAGCCTCACCAAGGTGCCTGTCCCTGTCTCTCTGCAGGTCCGTAGCCAGCACTATGACCTTGTGCTGAATGGCAATGAGGTTGGAGGTGGCTCCATCAGAATTCACAGTGCAGAACAACAGCGTTTTGTGCTGGAGAAAGTGCTGAAGGTAACACCTACAGATGCCTCTAACGCTCTCTTGGAGGTTTAAAAGCACTGATTAATTGAAATACTAATTGCATATTCTGAAAGAAACACTCACATTCTTCTCAGATAAAACATAACTTCTAGCCCTGAGCAATGGATGATTTCATTGTACCTTCATCTTGTGTTGCTAATAGGAAGAGCATTGCTTATCCTTTTAATGTGATTTTGCAGGAGGACTCTGAGGTGCTTTCCCATCTGATTGAGGCATTGGAATTTGGAGCTCCACCTCACGGAGGAATTGCTTTAGGTAAGTGATCTGTAGCTCTATGGATGCAGGTCTTTAGTGGTTTTTTGGTTTTTGTTTGTTTATTGTGGTTTTTTGTTTTGTTTTGGTTGCTTTTGATTTTTTTTGTCTTTGTTTTGGTTTTTTGGGTTTTTTTTTGCATACTAGATCCTGGGAACAAGCCTCATGGTTGTTAGGAAAAGCCTTGCTGCTTCCACCTCTGCAGCAGCTTTGTGGAAAGTAACAGAGGTCTGGTACCAAGAGCAGAAAGTTGGGGTGTTCCTCCCCAGGGTCACAGTGGGATTTAGGTCTTAAGTGAGGACATTGGTGGCTCTAAGGATGGTCCTTATCTGCTGATCTGCAAACCCTGTGCTCAGTGAGGTTGTGTCAGCTTTGTTCCCATTCCTGTGCAGCCAGAGCAGGATCCCTGTGCTGCCTGCCTGGAGGCATG